TCAATAAATGATAGCTAATGTTATTACAGAACATCTTCACCTCAATGTCTCATGGTTATTAAACCTAGCTATTCAAAGCTGAATTTATTATCTTTTACTACATTTTTCAAAATTTATTTATTTCTTCCATTAGAGGGAGAGAAATACCCTCAACAGGGTCTTCATACCAAAATCTACCCCTAGCCTCAGCCAGCTTGGATCATGGGCATAGATGCCTATCCATTCCTGGAATCACATAGAAGTCTCCGGACTGGAATCCAGGACCTTCCACATTGGTCCAGCATCACAGAGCACTGTGTCACCTATGAGCCACCGGCTCGCTCTTTTCCCCCATTTTAAATTGTTCCTTTTCTTGTCTCCCCCATTTCTACTAATAACACCACTCTAGCCCTCCAGGTAAGAAACCCTGGTTTCAGTTTTGAACACACCCATCTCCCACGAGCTGCCAAGCTCACTGCACTTACCTCAGCAATTTCTCTAAGGCTCAATGACATCACCCTGGTCCAGGCCTTCATTACTTTTGTGTGTGAACTACAGCCGTAGTCTTCTAAATGATCTATTTTTGAACTCCCCATATCCATCCTACACACTGCTGCTAATTTAATCTCCCTAACACTTGCATGACATAGATATATTATTAGGCTAAAAAAAGCAGATTTATAAAACAGAAGATACTGTATAATCCTAATATTTTCACATAAAATATGTCAATATGTAAAAAACACATGCCATCCCTTTCTGTCCAAACACATTACATACAAAAACATAGAGGAGGAGGGAATCAAAAAAGAAAAAAAAAAACCTCTCAAAGGATGTACTCTAAAATGTTATCTCTGGATGGGAAGACCAGGGTAATTTATTTCTTTGTACTTTTTCCTGTATTTTCTATATTTCCAATGATTTTTTTTAATGGTTTTTGCCATAGGGTGTGTTCATTAGCCAGAGAGCCAGTGACAGTAAGAGGGAAAATGAGAACTCATCTCCTGGGGGCAGAGGGGTGGCCATACTGCAATCCCTTCTCCTCCATCTTCCTCTTGGGATTTTTGGGCATCATGTACTCACACCCAGCATTGAGTCTCAAGCCATTGGATCCTGGACTTGAAGTGCAGTTAGCCATGTGGGAGTCCAGCACCTTAACCACTATACCACCTACTGGCTCTGAAAATGTATTATTTCACATAACGGAAAAATATATATATAACATACATATTGTGACTCCCTCACTCTCTGTTAAAAAGTCCCAAATTCTTTCCATGCACTCAAAGACCTCCATGGCTTTACTCGACTTGCTTTAAGGATCACATCTGACTCTACCTCATGATTTACTGGGTGCAGTCACAGCACTTCATGCTCGTCTACACTTTCCCCAACTGTCCTCTTGTTACCCTCCTCCATATTTTCTATTCCCATTGCCACCTGTTCAAATCCATCGACTCCTTCAGGGCTCAGCTCAAATATCTCAATATGACCATGGAAAAAATAGGTCCCTCTGTTCTCAAGTCAAGTTACTGACCTTAGTCAAGACCGCTGAAGACTCTGAAATTTAAATGCCCTCATTGATAGAAGGAAAACAATTCAATCTATTGGGAAAAGCAATAATTAAATAACACAAGGCAGTGAGAGTCTAGCACAATGTGTTACTTGCTCCCATCTTGTTTGTAAGGGATATATGTGGCCCAAATTATGCAGCATTAATAAATTTTGTCACCCAGTATTCTCTCTGGAACACAAACCAAGGCCAGAGAATGTTAATGACTGAACAGTCTCAGAATTCAATTATCACACATTCTTTGAGAGATTCTCTTCTCCATCATCCCTTAAGTAGTGGTTCCACCGTTGTTCTACTTCTTTCTTCACTTTACGAACTACAGAACTGATGATTTCCATCCACAACCATGGTTGTTTCTACCATTCATAAAACCAACTCTCCAGTCTGTACCTCCAACTGAGATTTCTTTCTGTATTTCAAGATTCATTAACTCAGGACCTGCAGATGGCGTAATGGCTACATTGCTAGAATCCCACGTAGTCGACCACAGTTTGAGTCACAGATCTGGTGGCTCAAACTCATGTCAAGCGCATGTGCGTGCATGTCTAAGATCCCAAGTAGAGCAGGGAGGAGAAAGGACTGTGGCACAGCCACAATCTACCCAGAAGGTGATTTCTTGCTTGCTTTCTCTCTGTCTCTCTAGCAAGTACACCCACCTTATAGCAAAAACCTCTCCAAAAAAAAAAAGAAAAAGGAAATTTTGAGTTTGGGTTTCTTGTGGGACACCCAGGTAGATATTTAGTAGGAAGTCTGACTTAATAAATCTTTTTTATTTATTTTTCAAAACATACCTCACTATGTCATGTGCTGGTTCCCAAATTCAAAATTTTAAAATAAACTTGTATTCCCCTAAACCTGTCAGCCATCCTATAATTCCTAGAGCCCTATTATCCACCAAAGACAGAAACTTGAGATAGCTTACATTAATTCATCTTTTATCCTTTTTCTTCATATTCAAATCTTGCAATCTACCTCAAACCCTGAAGTCTACCTGCACCCTACATATGCCAGCAGTTCCATGACTCAGTGCTCTTGAACACATTGTTCCTTCTACCTAGAAAATCTTCAGCTTCTTTCTTCACTTGACTAACTTCTCTCCCTTAGAACTGAACTGAAAGATGATCTCTAGAGAACAAAAGCTAACTAGCATTCATTAAAGCACATACTATATTCTAATCATTGTGCAAAACACTTTGCATGCACTGTCTTGCCAAGCACTCTATAAATACACTGATGAGGTAGGTACTATTAAGTTTTCACAGGTGAGGAAGGTAGTGATGTGGGAGGTCATATATAAATAGTAAATAGCAGAAATAGAATAGTATAAATGGAATTCAAGTCCAGGTCCATCTGACCCCAATGAGTAAGAATGCTCTTAGCCACTATCCCACGGGTTCCCTTTTTCACACACCCCCACCCATCCCATAACCTCTTGATTAGAGGTCTCTCCTCTGGCTATTGTAAAGGCACTGTACGGCACACTTATAAATCTTTATGATTTGGTTATTTTTTTTCAAATAAGCCTATGAATAATTTGAAGATAATGTCTATTTCATGTACAAAGGGGGGGGTCTTCAGAAAGTTCAGAGAAATGTGTATTATGAAAAAATTATGCATGGATTTTTCTTTTTTTTTGCACCAAAATAAGCTAGTGCTTTCATTCCACTCTTTTGCAAACTTTTTGAAGTCCAGGTGTATCTATTTCACCATATCCAGAAAAGCCTGGCACATGGTAGATCCTCAAAAAATATTAGGTTTGGGAACCAGCAGTTAGCGTAATGGCTATGTCGCTGGACTCCCACGTAGTCGACCGCGGTTCACGTCTCGGACCCGGTGGCTTAAATCTCACGCCGGGTGCGTGTGCGTGCGTGCCCAAGATCCCAAGAGGAAAACGGAGGAGAAGGGATTGCGGCGTGACCATCCCCCCTGGGGAGTGATTTCTTGTTTTCTGTCTCTATGTCTCTGTCTGTCTGGCGAGCGCACGCGCCCTATAGCGAAAACCTCTCCAAAAAAAAAATATTAGGTTCCAGGTCAGTAGTATGCTGGTTAAGTGTGGAGAGCAGTCAGTCTGAAAAGCTACTCTCCACAATTAAGGAGCTACACTTCTACATGGCTGACCATGGTTGGAGTCAAGAACCTGGCAGCTTGCTTTCTCACTTTCCCTCTCTTTGTTCAAATTAAAAAATAATAACAAGTAAAATTAAATAAAGTAATTCTTTCATTCTCCTCTCAGGATCTCGGGCACGCATGCATACGCTCCCAGTGTGATTTTCAAGCCGCCCAGTCCAGGACTCAAACCCCAGTTGACCATGTGGGAGTCCAGCGACATAACCACTACACCATTTGTTGCCGCCCCCCTCCCCCAAGTTAAAGTAATTCTTTAAAAAAAAAAAAAAATTGGGTTCCTCCTCCCTCTTGCCTCCTCTCCCAAACCCCCTATCACTTTATACTCACTTTGGGACACCTTTTCTCTGCCTGTTTTTGCATTTCACATACTTCATGAATATTTACCTAACCAGACTATGCTCTTGAAATGGCAGAAGGCAATTTTAAAAATCTTTATACAGATACCTTTGCCGGCATTAACTGCTCAACTAACGAACCTATAATTAAGCCACTTTTCATTCCTAGTGTGCACCTCTCTTCCCACTCCAACTGAACACTAGGCCCACTGTTAGCAAACCACGGTTCCCAAGCCACGAAGCGAGTCCAGCGACATAACCACTGCTCCATTTATCAAACGTTTCCAGCTGCTAGGCACCGAGGGAAATGCAAACATGGATTAGAAAAAAGGTTTCTGAGATCTAAGGAAATTCGATCTATATAGTAATGACTGCCGAATCAAAACAGTATAGCACACTGGACTGTTCGAGTATGTCAGTCACGTGGCTCTGCAGAGTGACGGCGACTGTCAACGTGGTTTCGGGGTCACAGAACAGACTGCGCGCCTGGCCCACTGACTAACCCTCTGGGACTTGTTACGGATACCATGCCCAGCCATACCCGGTTTGGAGGTGCTGAGGGGAGGTGGCAAAGCGACGACTCACCTCCCCTCGGCCCGGCACCCTCCCAGCCCCGGCCTCTCAAGGCTTTCTCCTCCCCCAGGGTGGCGCCCACCCCGGGGCGTGGCTCTCGCCGACCCACCCGCCTACCCGCTCCCGAGGGGTAGGCCAGCAGCTCCGAGGACCCTCCCTCTCCGGGCGGCCGCGCGAACGTGGGACTGGAGCAGAGGCCCGCCGCAGCCACAGGCCGCGCACCTCCTCGCGTCCACGCGGGACCCCCAGTGCCCTCCGTCACGCCATCTGCCGCTCACCTGCTCCGCCGACACCGCCCCCTTCCCCACGCCGCTCCCGCTGCTCTTGCCGGCGCGACCGCTGCTCTCCGCCATCTTCGCCGCCTGCTGCGCTTCCGGCCTGCGCAGCGCAGCCTCCGCCTGCGTCACATCCGGCCCGGCGTGCCCGCCCACTCGTCCTGGCCCGCTGGCTCCCGGCCGCTCGGCGGAGGCGACCGCGCGGATGGTCTTGGCTGTGTCCACATGTAGGACCTACTCCTGGCCCGCCCGCCGCGGGGAGTGCTCCCTGCGGCCGTGTAACCTGTGCCGCCGGGATGCCGCCCTGGGCGAGGCGGGGGGGGGCGGGGGGGGCGGGTGCGGGCTGGGACCCGGGGTCCTGCGCCCCGGCTCGCCCTGGTGGGTGGGGGTGACGGAGGGCGAACTGCCCCAGAGCGGGTCGGGGGGATGCTCTTTGAGTCAGGAAAGCTGTGCGGGTGCAGGGGCAAGACGGGAGGCTTGGCAAGCCACGGAAGTTCCCCGGAGGTGACTTTTGAACTGCGGAGACGTTCGGCACAGGAAAACGGCTTCCGTTTAATGTGAAATCACTGGAAGTTGGTATTCAGGCGCCGAGCAGAGTCCTTTCCAACATCTTCCACTTTATGATCTCTTCCTGTAGCCCATAATTATGTACAGTAAAGAGTACTTTAAGGATTTGGGGAGTTTTTCCTGCCAGGGCGTTATTAAGTCTTGCAGTGTTAAGGGAAACGTCAGAGAATCCTAGAAATGTATTGCGTAAGGGTCGTTGTCCTGATTTCTCACCGTCTTCAGGCTGGGCTTCATCACCAGGCCTCCACATCAACTCCTGTCCCTTCTGTGTTCCGGACTCCGGATACCCCGACTCTCAGTACTTTGTGCTCGGCCCAGGTAACATACGTGTTGTGTCCTCAGTGCCTGGCAGATCATAAATGCTCAATAAACTTGTTTAATGGCTGGTGGGAGACACACGGGTGTTAGCCACCCCCAGAATATTTTGGTGTGTCCCACTAGCCTTGGATCAGTATCCCCTGTAATAGCAGAGGCAAACGGAAGTCCAGCCTTCCTGCCACCCTGTTTGAATCCCTTATCATTAAACTTGGATGTCCCCAGGCTAGGAAATCTGAGAATCCTGCCTGTGCCATTCACAGGCCCAGAGCCATGGCTGTCTCCTCTTCCTCCTGGGAACTACCCCTGGTGGCTGTGTGCCAGGTAACATCGACACCAGACAAGCAGCAGAACTTTAAAACATGTGCTGAGCTGGTTCGAGAGGCTGCCAGACTGGGTGCTTGCCTGGCTTTCCTGCCTGAGGCGTTTGACTTCATTGCACGAGACCCTGCGGAGACGCTACGCCTGTCTGAGCCACTGGGTGGGAACCTTCTGGGAGAATATACCAAGCTTGCCAGGTATCAGGGAAAGGGGGAGGGAGGTGAAATCTTTGTTGGGCAGTGTCCCTGGATTGTCAGATGAGGGTAGAGCCTTGAGAAGAGTTGTCAGTGTCCCCTCCCCCCAGGGAATGTGGACTCTGGCTGTCCTTGGGTGGTTTCCATGAGCGTGGCCAAGACTGGGAGCAGACTCAGAAAATCTACAATTGTCATGTGCTTCTCAACAGCAAGGGTGAGACTTCATAACCCTTTAGCCTGCCTCTTCCCAGGCTCTTCTATATAAACCTAAGATTCTCCAGAATTCTGTTTTCTCAACTCTTCCTTGGCCCAAGGTTTTAGAGGTGTTCATACCTTCTGTCCCTAGCGGGTAAACTATCTCCTCCATGGGAGGAGAGGGGCTAAGCTGGACTTCTGGAGCACCAGCACCTCAGTATTCCTCCTCCTCCTCTTACTCTAGGGTCGGTAGTGGCCACTTACAGGAAGACACATCTGTGTGATGTAGAGATTCCAGGGCAGGGACCCATGCGTGAAAGCAACTCTACTATGCCTGGGCCTAGCCTTGAACCACCTGTCATCACACCAGCAGGCAAGGTGGGAGCTGCCAGAGGCTGAGGGTGGGAGAGGAACTAGAGGGTAGGGAATAGCAGTACTTTGAAGTAATAGTTTAAAGCGCCTGAGGAGTGGGGTGTCAAGGTGCTGAGGCAGACAGGAGACTAAGTAGGCTGTTTCCCATTCCAGATTGGTCTAGCTATCTGCTATGACATGCGGTTCCCTGAACTCTCTCTGGCACTGGCTCAGGCTGGGGCAGAAATACTTACCTATCCTTCAGCTTTTGGATCCGTTACAGGCCCAGCCCACTGGGAGGTAAGAGGACACCTCTTCACAGCGTAAGGACCTCCTTTTAAGCTCATGCCTTTCCCTTGGCCCTCCCAGTTTACCTTCTTCCCACTTAGTGGGAAGACTCGTTCCGCATAGTTGTCTGCCACAGGTCCCAGAACAGGTAACACAGGGGGTCACTCCTAGGTTGACATTAGAAGGGTAACAATGAGCAGACTGTCATTGACACCTTCAGTCACTTCCCCTGCAGCTGTCACGTGGGCTCATGTTGTCATCTCCAGGTGCTGCTGCGGGCCCGAGCCATTGAAACCCAGTGCTATGTGGTGGCGGCAGCACAGTGTGGGCGCCACCATGAGAAGAGAGCAAGTTACGGCCACAGCATGGTGGTGGACCCCTGGGGAACAGTGGTGGCCCGCTGCTCGGAGGAGCCAGGCCTTTGCCTCGCCCGCATTGACCTCAGCTATCTACAAGAGCTGCGCCAACACCTGCCAGTGTTCCAGCACCGAAGGCCTGACCTCTATGGCTACCTGGGCCAACCACTGTCTTAAGACTTCTGACTCCTACAAGTTGAGATCACCATTGTGGTTGGGGCTGCTGTGACCTGTAGGTGGGACCCAGGCACAGCTCTCCTCACTTGGAAAATCTTGACTCTTCTCATGGAAGACAGGCTCAGCTTCTTGGGAAAGAAGAAACGTCTACCTGAGCTCAGATTTCAGTTTCAGAAAGGTGGCATTTTTTAGTCACTGTTTATTTCTTGAAAACTGAAGTTACGCTGAGGGCTGAGCAGCATTGGCATTGAAAAAAAATAGATAATAATCACAAAGTCTGTGTGTCTGGACACCTCGTTTGGGAGTGGATGGGGAGGCAGTACTGGACCAGCTGGACTCGGCTCTGGTTCTAAGCCTCCAAGCCGACACCGCGTGCCTCCCTACCTAAATAAAAGTGCAACACTCAGTGCGTATCCCAGCCCCATTCTCCCGAGCATGGGAGTGGGAGTAAGGATAGAGGAAGAGAAAGGGAAGAGTTGATACTGAATTACTTCACTTTCACCTAGGGTGCCCTTTGCCTAAGCCAGAAGAAAGCAAAGGGGAAAGGGGCTGCAGGGTACATTATTTATTTTCACTTGAACATGGAAGGAAAGTGTCACACTCCCCCTTCCCCTTTTCAGGGGGAGTGTATTTTAGTCAGCAACCTCTTCTCTACCCACCTGTGTGTGCACACACACATCACAGCTGGGAGGGCTGACAGGCCGGCCCAGTCCTCTTATCTATCACTGCCTTGAAGAGGGTTTGACAAAAGGAGAAAACGGAGGAGCCACACCAGGCAGAAGTTTCAGGCCATGGAATGGAGGAAAGAAGGCAGAGAAGAGCAGCACCGGAGGCCAGGAGAGAGTGGAAAGGGCCACAGCTTCTTTTGTAAAAATTCTATAATTTGGAAGAGGGTGGTGATTCATTTCCAAAATACACTTCAGAGTCCCACCTTCCACATAGCTCCCTTACTCACAGCCCTTTGGTTTTTCAGACAAAATTGAAGAGCCCTCATAAAGCCAGAAGTATTGATAACCCCTCAGTGCACCCCAAAGCAGTGTTCGCTTCAGTCCCTTGTGAAGACTATGCTCTGCAGACTCTGCTTCTCCCTACACATTTGTCTTTTGGCTCAGTGGGAAGGTGGTTTAGAGACACATGTTGGGGGTGAGTGGGAAAGGGAAACAAAGGGGAAGCCCAGGCACATGGGTGCAGGGAGGGGTAGGGAACACCACTTCCACTTTCTTTTGTCTTTTCCTTTAAAAAAAAAAAGGGGGGGAGATTGTGATTGGTTGGAAGGGTAGAGAACAAACCCCAGAACAGTATGTAGGCTCCAGAGGTGGGTGGTAGGAACAGTCCCCAGAGAAGTGAGGGGGCGGCAAGGTCAGGGCAACGCCTGCAGCATCAAGTTCCTCAGGAGTTTCTGTCGACCCAGCTCGTAGTCCTCCTCGTCCACATTCACCAGCAGCTTGATGGCCTCATGGCCCACGGCTTGCTTGAGGGAGTCTGTGATGAAGACACCTTTAAGTGCCTCTAGTAATGAGCCATTGATGTAGTCGCGCCAGAATGCGTCGAGGTAGGTGAGCTCAGAGAACTTGATGTCACAGATGATGGAGCCCAGGTCCCGAGACTTGAGGATAGTGTTGGCCTGGTTAAAGCGCTCAAACTGGCGCTCCAGTGGGTCCTGCTTATTGGAGAAGACATTGCCCTGCAGAGCAGTTTCATGCTGGCAGTATTCAGCCCGAACCCGCAGTCTGATGTCTATGGGGAAAACGAGAAGAGGTTACAGTGAGGGATGAATTGGACATCCCTATTTGGAAAGCTGAGAAAAACAGCAGGGTGGCAAAGCAAGGCTTCTTGCTTACATGACAGCTTCCCAACCTTGTCCCCAGTTCTTTTCTGAGTATGGGGGGTGTGGGGGGATGTCTTCAAAAAGTTCGTGGAAAATATGTACTTTGAATAAACTTAATGGATTTCAATTTTTTGCACTAAAATAAATTCATACTTCAATTCCATTTCCATAAACTTTTTGAAATTCCCATGTATCTCAAATTCTTATGTGAATACAGAAATGGGACATGCCCAGGAGACATTTTCTTGGGCATTGTCACCCACAAGCAAGTATCTCCTTATAGAACATACTTTCCTAACAGGCACAATGTAATATTTTACCTTGACTTGGTTCAAATTACCATAAAGATGTCATAATAGTAGCCCTTTCATCTAGTATTAACTAAAAAGTTGAAATGTACTTTGCCACAAAGATAGTCACCTCCCTGCTATTGCCCAGGGCCAGCCTCATAGCATAGGTGTTAAGTGTTGCACACAGGGAGCTGGATCCCACATGGCAGACCAAGGTTTGAATCCCAGCCTCACCTTGAGAAACATGCCAGGCAAGTCAGTGTGTGTGCATGGGCCCAAAATCCCAACAAATGGATGGGGGAGAAGGGACTGCCATGTGACCATTCCCCATTGGGGAGGCTGCCCCTCCTCTGGTGAACACACACATCCTCTGGCAATTAAAAAAAAAAAGGTCTCCGGAGGAGAAGGGATTGTGGCGTGGCCATCCCCCCTGGGGTGTGTTTTCTCACTTTCTGTCTGTCTGGCGAGCACATGCGCCCTATAGCAAAAACCTCTCCAAAAAAAATGTTATCTGGGACCAGCAGATGGTGTAGTGTTAAGCTGGCCAACCACGCTTCAAGTTTCAGACCAGGCAGTTTGAAAATCACACCGGCCGCATGTATATGCATGCCCAAAATCTCAAGAGGAGAATGGAGAAGGGATTGTGGTGTGGTCATCCCCCCCAGGAAGTGATTTCTCACCTTACCTCTCTCTCTCTTTCTCTTTCCAGCCAGCGTACGCACCCTATGGCTAAAACCTTAAAATGAACTCTCCCCAGATATAAAACCATTCAGCCTCACTATGCAGTAACAACCAAAGTGAGCCTTGCATTAACTAGCATAAATTGCCCAGTGTCCAGCAGTTTTTAATATTCTCCCTCGAGTCTATTCCTCTGCTGGAACCCTTGAACTTCCTCACCACAGGTCTGCTTTTCCTTGGGATCTGGTGTCACTGACTTCCGGCGTTTTCGTTGACTCCCAAGCGTGGCTCTCCCTCGGGCTGGTCGCTTGCTACACATCTGAGGACCCGAAGTGGGGCAGCACACCACAGGGTAGTGGGGAGGCACTGACCAGAGGTAAGAGGGAGAAAACACAGTAGGGTAAACGCAGAAATTCAGACACTTCCTTTGAGATGAGGAAGGCGTCATTAAGACTTAGCGTTAAAAGCAGTATCAATGCAATGTCCTGAAAGGACACACATGGGAGCAATCAAGTGCCTTAGTGAAACGCTAACACCTCGCCTGATTTTTGAGAAGAACTCCATTTTTATAGGGGACAGCTTCCTTTCATTTACACTAGCCAAGCTGGGAATGTGATGGGATGCATGTCCTCTTACTTGATCAGGGAAATGAAGGAGTGTGTGGACCCAGCAGGTGGCATGGTAGTTATGGTACTGGATTCCCACATGGCCAAACACACGAGTCAAGTCCCGGACATAGCAGCTTCGAAAACGCACCAGGAACGTGTGCATGCCACAAATTCTGAGAGAAGGGGCTGTGGCAGGGCCATCCGTCCTAAGGTGATTTCTCACTTTCCCTCTGTCTCTTTCCAGTGAGCTCT